CTTTAATTGGCACAAATCAATATTCGTCCTCCAAACGATTACTCCTTATGCGTGGAATGGGGCATGAAACGTATAAAGGACGATGAATCTGAATGTTTCTTGGGCGTCCAAATCGCTTCGAGGTATTACCCACAGATGCAAGAGAGTATCCTCACTCAAAAAGTTTATAACCGTCGAGACACTTGGGGTAAGGCACCCCATCTGTCCTTGTTCGATCGAGCATTAATTGTGAATAGTGCATTATTTGCCCTCCTGTGGTATGCAAACAAAGTTCGTGGCCTTGGCAATCTCTCCTACTCTCTTATTAAACGGAGAGCAGCTAAGCTGATCAGGAAGCCTTATGTAAAAGAGGATGATTCCTTAATCTCTAAAGTTGCTTGGGAAGTGATTTGTTGCCCTCGTAGCGAGGGCAGACTGGGAATACTAGATCCGCAAAGACAAATCATTGCAATACTCTGTAATTGGATCATCAAAGTCAGTCTTGCTACCCCAGCCCCCCATTCGGTGTACTTGGCATAATGTATTATGAGCCGTGAATGAAATATGAGTCGTCTCGATGATGTCTGACCCTGCTTCCAACTATTTTTTTACCAGAGATGACAAATTAAATCCCCTTCATGAGCAATGATCATTTTAATTTGGAAAAAGCTCAGACCCAATGTCTAGACTGAGTCTTTAGCAAAGGCCGAAGTACTGGCCCAACCGTTGCTTGAAAATCCTAAAATTTGTGATCAATCTAGGGATTGGTTTAAGGCTGACTCAACAACGACAAATTTTCGGCCAAACATGGATAGAGAGAGGAGTCTTGCGCATCAAGGACTTATGGGACCAAATCATGGGCACGTGGATCACTGACGAAGCCTTGAGACAACAGTTGGGTAAGGTAAGATGATTGAAGGATAAAAAAAACCCTAATTAACACGATCTCATTGCCTTGGAAGTTAATTTTGGCTCCAGACAGGATTGACTCCCCCGACACCCGGGTTGCCGACTCAGATCCCCTACTGTAGCAAGTGTGGAAACTTACCTCCACCAATGACGAAGGCTCAAGGATTTTTAAATGCTGGTCAGTTATTCAACCTAACCTACCGGAGGAAGACGAGGAGAACCCCCCACCTCCTTTGGGTATGACCTTACAACATATCAGAGTATATGAATATCCAGATCCTGACGGCTCGGTGACATGTCAATTATTCAACCAAGGTAAATCGGTACATCAATTGAAACTGGACCTCGCCGTTAGGGAATGAACTGTCATCGGTCCCTGAGGCTCCCACGCTACCCTAGTATCGGGTATATCATCAATCAACCTTTGAAGCAACCTATACTGGTAGCTCGAGCCCGACGGGCCCAACTTCTACAAACGGTCGGAACAGATATAGATTCAGCATTAATCTTCAGTTGGGCTCGGTTAACACAAATCCCGAATCAAAGACATGCTTTGCCATTGTGGCTAGTGTCCTTGGTTTTGACCCCTTCAGCAGTGTGGCTAGCCGAACGAGGAATGAAAATTGACTTGAAATGCCTCATATGCCATTGGGTGTTTGAATCCTTCATTCACCTACTATGGTGGGACTGCCCAGCCTCCAGTAGAGTCTGGAAATGGATTATCAATGTTTGGAATCGAGTCTCAAGCTCTGCCATGGAATGGTACAAGAAATGAACTTTGTTAGGCGGTCTCCCAACATGACTCCCCAAATCAAAAGGTTGGGGGCTATGTGACCCAGATCTTTCGAGCCACAGGCTTTGCGGTTATCTGGCAGCACCAAAATGAAACTGCCTTTGATGGGAAAGATTGGACTAATAAACAATTTCGTAGCACATTTTGTCTGTGGATGAGACGAGCTATCCAAGCGGACTGGCAGAGGAAAGTGAGCCCTCCCAAGCCTTCACGCTCATGTCTACAGTGGTTTAAAGAGACCAGGGCCCTCGGAAGCACCATTGCGAAGGTGGAAGGAAATCAAGTTTCTTTCAGTTGCTGGTTGCTCCAGGATTGATTTCAACCTGGCCTGCTCGTTTGTTGTGGTTTCCTGGCGGGTCGCAGTAGACATGCAGCCTCGGCGGGGAACGGAGGAGGGAGCGGTATCTTTCAGTTGAACTTCTACCCTGCTGATATGGGTTGGTGTCTCGGCAACGTAGGGCTATTGCCTGCACCCAAGTTAATCAGGTAAGCTTTAGGGGCTTGCCACACAGGCTTTCGAACATCAGCATTTTTCGAAAGGTGTCAGACTTTTTTCGAAAGTCTGCTCATCGAAAGGAACTCCCCCCCTCGCCACACAGACTTTTGAAACACCCAGGCCTTTCGATGTATGCACATTAGGGCCTGGCTCATTGCTCACTACGCGTGTAAAACGAGAGTCTGAATCTTTGCCCAGAACATGGAAAGATACTTCGCCATAATTTTTTTTGTTTATGCATGTCGAGAGTAGTGGAGCCAGGCCCTTGGAATCGCCCTTTTTTTTTTTTTTTTTTTCGACCGATCAACCGTTTCGAGTGGGCCTTTTCAAAAGACCACTCGGGGTCTTTCGAGGAAAGGCTCGTGACAGGCGGGAGGATCTCATCTCTTCGTAAAGACTTTCGACGCCGGTCCATCTGACACCTTTKAAAACTTTTTCGAAAGAACTGGTTTCGAAAGGCTGTGTGGCAAAGACACGGCCTCGATTTTGCGCGTTTCGAAAGCCTGTGTGGCGAGCCCCTTAAAATATCAGGATATAAAGACTACATAGGGTATGTAGTTTATAATTAGGTTTGATTTGTTTCTTGTATGTAGCTTCTAAATTAGGTCTGATTTGCTTCGTTTTTTTTTCTCAGTTTTTCAACTTTTTCATATTAAAAAAAAAAACAAAACAAAAAAAAAAAAACCTTTATCATATCTGTTAGTTTTTATCTACTAGGGCTTTTTGTCCCAGGGCTAGGATAGTGGACAAGAGTAGGCTTTTGAATTAATTTCATGGTTACTTCAGTTCCTTTGGGATTGTGTGGCTTTTATAGGCCGTGATGGCATTCTTTTCTTTTATTCTCAGGGTTGGCAAATGTCAGAGCAGCCGTCAGGATTCGGCCAATTCTGGGGCAAGGTCCCACTTGCGCAAACTAGGAGATTTCGGCCGTTGATCTTTGCTATCTATGGTCAGTATCTCTTAATTCGTGCAAGTGGGACCTAGCCTCTGCTACTGGACTATGGGCGTCGCTGCACTGCTCTCGACATGCACACAAGACAAAAATCATGGCGGTGCATCTTTCCATATTCTAGCGGAAGATTCACTCTCGTTTTGCACATTTCGAGAGTAGTGCAGCGAGGCCCTATAATTTCCAACCCCTGCCCCATAAGCTGGGTAATTGTCCCAGAGGCTACTTGTTTCTCTTGTTTTCCCTTTCTCCGGCCGGTTGTTTTATTTTTCTGTCTATATATATATATATATACAGCCCCTCATTTGTTGTCCTCGTCTCCCTCTCTGCCTACGGTTTACCGGGCAGCTCTATTTGACGATATATATATATATATCTGTTTGTGACGATATATATATATATATGTCACAGCCCCTCGTTTGTTGTCCTCTTCTCCCTCTCTGCCTACGGTTTACCGGGCAGTTCTATTTGACGATATATATACATATGAAACTCCGACGAAACAGTTTGTCACAGCCCCTCATTTGTTGTCGTCTTCTCCCTCTCTGCCTACGGTTTACCGGGCAGTTCTATTTGACGAGCGAAACAGTTTGTCACACCCCCTCGTTTGTTGTCCTCTTCTCTCTCTCTGCCTACGGTTTTACCGGGCAGTTCTGTTTGTGACGGTATATATATCGTCAAATAGAACTGCCCGGTAAACCGTAGGCAGAGAGGGAGAAGAGGACAACAAATGAGGGGCTGTGACAAACTGTTTCGTCGGAGTTTCACCGACTCATCAGGAGGCTGAACCCTAACAGTCTGCAGAATCCCCTCACTGATTACACTGTAAATGATAATCTACCTTAACCAAAATCAAAGTAGACTATCACTCACCCACACCAGATGGAAAACTCTACAGACTGTCGGTTCACACCCCATCACAAGCCTATTTATATATATATCGTAGGTTTTTTGAGAAAAAATAATAATAATGAAAAAATAAGCAGTAACCAGTACGGACTTCCCCCGCCAATTTTCTGAAAGCCAACCTCCCCCCAACTCTCAACTCGCGCCGCGCCCGCCAATTTTCTGAAAGCCAACCTCCCCCCAACTCTCAACTCGCGCCGCGCCGGCCGCCGATCACGGGCTTCGCTGCACTACTTGAGCGAATCTTCCGCTAGATTATGGAAAGATACACCCCCATGATTTTTGTCTTTCGTGCATGTCGCGAGTAGTGCAGCGAGGCCCCATGTGTGGATCCTCCAGACCGGATGCCCTTCAGAGCGGACAACGAGGCAGACGTTCCACAACTTCCACTTCGCATTTGCATCCACTTTACGCGCCAGCGTCGGGAGTCTGGAGATGCACATTGCACTTATGGCCGTCGCCCGCCGAGGCTTTTTTTCAAAAATTTTGACCAACCAATGGAAGAGCAGGCGCGCTGCTCCCCTCAACTCGTTTCGCCACGTCACTGCACGCCATGTCAAAGCCCGCCAAGGCGCCAAAGGGGGCAAGTCGAGTCCACGCCGGGGGCAAGGTCCCGCTTGCGCAAATTAGGAGGATTTCGGCCGTTGATCTTTTTTATATATACGGTCACTATCTCTTAATTCGTGCAAGTGGGACCTAGCCCCAGGGAAACTGGCCGTCGAAGGAGCGTTACCTTCGCAGGTCCCGGGGCGAGGTCCCACTTACACGAATTAAGCGATATTGACCGTAGATAGCAAAGATCGACCGCGCAAGTGGGACCTTGCCCCCGTACCTACTGCCTACTCTAGTATTGCTACCATGGAATCGACTCAATCGAGAAATTGCGATAGCGATTTTCTCCGCCTATGACCGCCGGCTACCTCGTCGTACTTAAGATCGGCTTAGTGCGGTTCCCGTTAACTATTCGGTTTTGTTTTGGAATTAGGTGTGGTGTGATTTCCGTACTGGACTTCGCTCGGGTTGTGACTTGACTCTCCGGGCGCGAAGAGAAGGTTGTCTCCTCCTCCTCTTCTCCTCTGCCGTCTCCTCCTCCTCCTCCTCGTCGCCCTCCCTCCTCCTCCGTCTTCTTCTCCACCGAGCATCTGGCTGGTATCCACCAAGAAGAGAGATCCATTTCCATTTCTATTTGACCGACCGGTCGATCAAGTGGTGGTTGGGTTCAGACGACCGTCAACAGGCGATCCGTTTATCGGTCAATTGGAAAGACAGACGGACCAACAGAGACGGATCCATCATCCATCGACCGACCGACCGATTTTTCTTATCGATCCATCACCATCATCTACCGATCTATTTGTTGCTGTTGATCTATCGCCGGCCTGGGCATGCCGAAAAGAAAAGAAAAGAGAAAGTGAAGGGATCTTTATACATGCCTCTCCGTTGTTCACCCATGGTGCGAACGATTGACGGGTGTTGCTTTGCCTGAAGAATTTTTGCTACGTTTGCGCTTGTCACCACCATTCAGTACGTCAACGGCGGCGGCGGCGGCGGCGGCGGCGGTGGCTACGACTGTCGCCGCTTATAGCTGACGACTCTCTCGCTTCTCGTCAAGCGACCTGAAGCACACTTGCGGTTTGTAGTTAGTTTCTCTGTCGTTCGTGTGTGTGTGTGTGTGTGTGTAGCCAGGGTTGAAAGAAGGTGAGGATGAATACAGAAGAAAAGGCGGTGGAGGGAGGGGAGGTCGTGTCGGCTGAGGCACAGAAGGCAATAGGAGAGAAGACGGAGGCGGAGAGGAATGGTGATGAACAAAAGGAGCAGGGGGCTGTGCTGAGCGGAGGAGAAGGGAAACAAGGGGAGGAGGAGTACGTCAAAGTGGAAGCTGAGGAGGAGGAGGATAAGATGATAGGGAAGGAGAAGAAGGACAAGGAAGAAAAGGGTAAGGAAAATTCGGTGAAAGGCGGCGGCGGCGGCGGCAGCGAAGCCACGCCCTCGTCGAGCTCTTCCGATGAAGCGGTCGAGGAGGATGATGACAGACTCGAGCTTGCTGAAGATGGCGATGGTGACGACGAAGGAGAAGAGGAAGACGATGAAGACGACGACGATTACGACGAATTAGACGGTGATGAAGAAGAAGAAGAAGCAGCAGAGGAAGAAGAAGAAGATGAAGAAGATGGTGATGCCGAAACGGAGGGCGTCGAGAGTGGAAGCAGTGATGATGAAGAAGAGTCGGAGGGTGAGCTGGAAGAAATTGTTGTGCTTACGTGCGTTCTTAATCAGGCACGTGGGCTTCACCGTGGAAGGAAGATATGGCGGCGAATAGCTGTACCCGCCGAGTTCTCTTTGCTCGAGCTGCACGTAGCGCTTCAGGTAAGAAAATCCGTTATCTCCTGTCTCCGCTCATCCCACTCATTAGTCTTTTGATGCCGCTGGGCCCAGAACTGAGCCCCCCCTCTTTTTCTCCGTTCTTCCCTTGAATCAGATTTGCAATGTGTCTCACCCACTTCTTTCATTTTTCCTTGCTTTGCATCGAAAATTAACTAAATTCGACCACTAAGGACTAGTGCTGGACACACCCAGTCCTGGATTGCATCAACTAGTACGAGCAGTTGATGCAATCCGCTACCAGTAATACTTGAGTTCTAGTACCGTTGTACTTTTTCTTCCCACGACTTCGACCACTAAGGACTAGTGCTGGACGATGCCGAACACTACGAGTACAATCACTACTACCGTCTTCCCCCGAACACAACGCACCCTCATTATGAATGTATAGAGACTAGGTTCCCGGTCCGATGCACTCAAAATGAGTGTGCGTTGTGTTCGGGGGAAGACGGGAGTACTTCGCTGCTGTTGGTAAAAATTGCTATTGCTATTAGTAAAAATTGCGATTGCTGGCATTGTCAGGGTTGTCGAGAGTTGGAGATCGCATGCGGATGCATTCTTTTTTTTTTTTTTTTTTTTTTTTTTTTTGCGGATGCATTCTCAATGCCTCACTTATATCTATTTGACATCGGTAATATCGGTACAATGTATAGCATGTCAGCTGATTATGGCTGTATCTAGACTGAAACTTACCCGAAGTACGGCTATAGGGACTGGGCGTTCTATTCGATACGGCTATAATGACTGGGCGTTCTATTCAGTACGGCTATAATGACTGGGCGTTTTATTCGGTACGGCTATAAAGACTGGGCGTTCGATTCGATANTCGGTACGGCTATAAAGACTGGGCGTTCGATTCGATACGGCTATAATGACTGGGCGTTCGATTCGGTACGGCTATAATGACTGGGCGTTCTATTCGGTACGGCTAAAATGACTGGGCGTTCTATTCGGTACGGCTATAATGACTGGGCGTTCTATTCGGTACGGCTGTAAGGACTGGGCGTTCTATTGGGGTGAAGACGGTAGTAGTACGTCTATAGGAATTCGTAGCAGTTTTAAGAGTGCAGGGTGAGATCTGATCCCTCGATCGTGGAGGCGGATCTGCTCGGTGTTCTTTTTTTTTTTTTTGTTTATACAAGAAAAACAGTGGTTGGTCGTTAGCAGAACAAATGAGGCCGGGAATCCCTCAACAAACGACCCAGAAGGACAGCCATGTAAAGCATCACCGAATTATTCATCGTTAATCGGAAAGAAAAGCGTCACCGTGTACAGTGTACTGGGACCATTACACGGTGATTCTTTTCTTACCGATGAATAATTCGCAGAGTGCAACGTGCGGGGAAAAGGTATTTCCCGACCTGATGAGCACTGAATGGCATTGCGTAATCCCATCATGGAGTTCATGCAGGTTTCCAGGGATTTTTCTGGCATATGTATATGTATATATATCAATAATATATATCAATAATATATATAAATAATATATAATATATAAATAATAAATATAAATAATAGATGTGTGTATGTGTATGTATTCACACACGCGGGCGCGCGTATGTTCATATGTTGCATAAATACATTTTCTTTTTTTAATTTGTTTTTAGATGCACCTCTTTCCTTATTGACACGGATGGACTCTGTTGAAATCTGAAGAATCGGATATGATAGTGCCGCTGCGCTGTTTATTCATGTATTATTCTTCCCCTTAAACATGCCAGTCGGCGGTGGGGAGGGGCAAAAAAGACATTCTTCGGGATATATCGGTTAAAAGTGGAATGATAGAGATAAAGAAGATTAGTATGGTCCGTGCGCAAGGATGACACCGCATACATCGAGAAAAATACCTCTCTATTATTAGCTCATGGAAAACTTAAGGAAGAAAAAGAAATACGACTTTGGTTTCTTACTTTCTAACGATGACGGTGTTCTTTGTCTTTTTTTTTTCCCTCATTTTTTTTTTCTTTCAATTCCGAGTTTTTATGTACTCGTTGTTTACTCTTAGAGAAATATTTCTCTAGCATTTTCTCTTTTTTTCTTTTCTTTTAATTCCGAGGTATAATATGTTCAGCAACGTCGATGTGTGCCGTCCATCCGGTTTATTGACAGCCATTTGATCTTTGAAAGCTTCGAAGGTCCGATTTTTTTTTTTTTTTGGGGGGGGGGTTCCGATCGTGGTTTACTCTTGGGCACCATTGCAGACTGCTACTCTGACGAGGCTTTTTTTTTTCTTTTCTTTCCATTTATTATTTTGATTTCGGGATGCAAAGTGAGTGATTTGAGATTTTAAGAAGATCGGCCTTTTTTTTTTTTTTTTTTGGATGGAGACCAATTCTAATGTTTCGAAAATTTTGCACCGGTATAAAAAAAAAAAAAAAAAAAAGAAATTGCACCGGCCTCCACTGGCAGGTCCTTTTCGGGATCCAGCTTCCCGTACGGTAATAACTGGGGCCGAGGTCCCACTACCGTCTTCAGCCGAATACATCGTACGGTCATTATTGCTGTATCTGGACTGCAAGCTAGACTAAATACAGCTACAACTTATAAGGACCGGGCGTTTTATTCCGGTGAAGACCGTAGCAAAGAGGGTTGTATCATTTCTCAGTAGATAAGCAGGATATGGTCAACGATGGAATTGGATTTTTTTTTTCTTTTTTTTAATTTAACTTGGACCATCACTCGATTTATGCGTGTCATCCTTGCGCAGGGCCCATGCTAATCTTCTTTCTCTCTGTATCGTTCCAATGTTAACGGATGTCCCGAAGGACGGAATTGGATTGTTGGCCATTGGCTGTTCCATACTAAAAAGGCAATGGTCGAGAATCCGAATTCCATGTGTTATAGACAGATTATTAATGCTGTGTATACACACATGCCTATTTTATCCCAAATAAATAGAGATTCTTATTTTGATTCCTTTCCTTTTCTTTCCTTCACCTTCTTTTCTTCGTCTTTTTCTTGAGCGTTTCATGCTGAGAACTGTGCAAACGGAGAAGTAAACGGAAATCCGTCGATGCTTGGACGAGGAGAACTCTATGCCCACTGTCGATGCTTGCACGATGCGTTTCACTATTCTTCTTGTGCTTGGCGATGGAAAGGGTTGGTAGAGAACTGCTACATTTCAAGTATCTGTAGATGAATGTGTGACCTGGTATATAGTATATACACACAGAAACGCATTCGTTAGACATGTATATATGTGTAGAGGAGAGTACGGATTAAAGCTATATGGATATTGGCCTATTATTAGGTGACTTTTGTTACGTGGACGCAAGAAAGGGGAGAAGAGAGAGGGATGAGAGGGTGGATGAGGAGGACAACAGGAAGTCGGCTGTGACAGTGACCCTTGCGGCGGACGGCTGTACGTAGATGAATACTTGATATGTACCAGATGACGTGTCATCGTGCATATCCGCCTTATCGTTCCTTTTGTTTTTTGGATATGACTTGATTATTCAATGCACGTGGTCTGAGTGAAGTGTGATTTTTAGCAGCCTCTGAGCCCGCGCATCCGTGTCTAATCTTCACGGTGGTCACCCCACTACGCACGTTTGTTTCACTGATACCTTTATGTATCTGACCATTTCGGCGGCCGTATTCAGTAGTAAGATGGTTCCAATGTGAGTACTATGCCCTATAACAAATATGCATGAATATCTACTTAGTTCTTTTCTGTATCTATACTTGCGCACACACATAATCTGTACATTTCCGTATATATACGATGAAACAGTTTGCCACAGCCCGTCGTTTGTTGTCCTCTTCTCCCTCTCTGCCTACGGTTTACCTGGCAGCTCTGTTTGACTATGTATATCCAACCTACATCCACGTGGGCGGCCTTGTACGCAAGAGGTTTTGAATAGGGGGAGTTTAAGGAAGAAGATAAAAAATGATTTCACTTTTCTGTTTTTTTTTATATTTTTTTTTCACTTTTGCGCTCTGATATTCTGTGACAATATATGTCTATATATCTCTATATATTGTCACAAGAATATTAGAGCGCAAATGCGAAAAAAAGAAAAAAAAAGAAAGAAAAACAGGAATAAATGAATTCAGTTTTTTATCTTCTTCCTTATAACTCCCCCTGTTCAGAACCTTTTGCGTACAAGGCCGCCCACGTGGATGTAGGTTGAGCGGCGGCTGCCCCCACCCCCGTGTGTCATATCGACCCACTTGCACACAGCCAAAAGGCAAAGAGGCAAAGAAAAGAGGAAGGGAACAGCCAAATAATACAGAACAGGGGGCAACAAAACACATCCCAGATGACAAGTCCCACATGCAAGCACAGCCCCTGCCCATAGGCCAAACGACGGGACAAGACCAACCAGGATGTCAAACGTTCTTGTCTGCAAAGAAATAAAAAAGAACCCGGAGGACCGGTATAGAAAACAATCCCGGATGACGATTCCCACATGCAAGCACCGCCCCGCGCTCAAAAGGCCGAACAACGGGAAACAACCAACCAGGATCCCAAAATAATAATAAAGCCCGGATGACTGGTCCCACATAAAGCACCGCTACCTGCTGACTGAATAGACCGAACAACGGGACAAAACCAACCGGGATGCAGACAAGGTTACCACACCACAACAAATCTACCATATCCATATCCAACAAATCTACCATATCCATATCCATAGTAAAAGAAACGGAACCATACAGTAGGCCCGCAAAACGAAACACCCCAGCAACGGGGTATACCTATCTGTTTGACGATGCATGTGACAATATATATGATGAGGTGTGAACCGACAGTCTGTAGAGTTTTCCATCTGGTGTGGGTGAGTGATAGTCTACTTTGATTTTGGTTAAGGTAGATTATCATTTACAGTGTAATCAATGAGGGGATTCTGCAGACTGTTGAGGGTTCAGCCTCCTGATGAGTCGGTGAAACTCCGACGAAACAGTTTGTCACAGCCCCTCGTTTGTTGTCCTCTTCTCTCTCTCTGCCTACGGTTTTACCGGGCAGTTCTGTTTGTGACGAT